TTCTTGTTTGTTTAAGGCTGGTCAGGCGAGGCAGTGGGAGCGGGGAAGGAACAAAGGAATCTGTAACTGGTTGTGATCGATTCGTTGTAAACGTAACTGTATGTTGTAAAAACAGAATTTTTGTTTCACATTCCATTCTCTCTCTCTTTTTTTAATTTTGGAATATTATGGGCATACAGACAAAGGTTTTGGTTATATGACCGGCTTCTGTGCAGCTTGAGTCAAAGCTGTAAGTGTGCGGACGCCAAGATAGCCTGCGGTGCACCCGCCCCTCCTCCCCGTGGTTTCTCTTAGTTTTACGGCCACGCGGGTGCTGACCAATCGCCCCGATTCAGCGGTGAGCGCGCCTGGTGCTTGTTCCGTCCTGCGACACTTCGCTTGGAAAGACGGTTCCAGCTGCGTCCGGTTGTCACGGCAGGCGTTAGGGCAGCACTTCTTTGAGGGCTGAGCAGAACCCCGCGGTGCCCGCACACTGCGCTGTTGATCCGCGCCTGCGTCGACGGGCGCCCGGGCTGATTCCACATCTTTGCAACTCTGCTCTTTCTTCGTATCTGTGTAGCCGTTTTCTTCAACAGGCATCGCGCTGCTGTGGCTACTTCCTGTTCCCTGTGGGGTCCGTCACTTTTGTCTCTCCCCTCCCCCACCCACAGGGTGTCCTTGTCCCCCGTGCACCTGCGGAGGGTTTGGGGGGCACACCCCAGAGCCAGGCTCACCTCAGGGTGACCAAGCCCCTCCAGGGCGCTGTCCAGAGGGGCTCACGGCACAGCTGCAGTGCCCTGTCCCCACGCGCCAACTCTGGGGGTGGTCAGCCACTTTCTACCTCTGCCAGTGTGCCAGGTGAGACCTGGCTTCCCTGCCGTTTCTTTTTTCTTTTTCTTTGAGACAGAGTCTCACTGTGTTGCCCGGGCTAGAGTGCCGCGGCGTCAGCCTAGCTCACAGCAACCTCAGACTCCTGGGCGCGAGCGATCCTCCGGCCTCGGCCTCCCAGAGTGCCCGGACTACAGGCGTGGGCCCCCACCCGGCCCCACCTGGTCTGATGCCTGGGTTTGCCCTTCTGCTCAAGGGCTGTGGGAGCCGTGGTTCCTGCCGTAAACACAGCCTTTGCCCATTTTCCCCTGGCATCGCTGGGCTTTCCTCGTGGAGTTGCAGATTCGACATTGGCAATTCTCAAACTTTTGGACCTCAGGCCACTTTTACACACTAAAAAATTATTGAAAGCCCCAAAAAACCTTGGTTTATGTGGGTTTCATGTATCAGTATTTGTTATGTTAGAAAATAAAACTACGAAGATTTGAAGATATGTATGTATCTCATTCCTTTTAAAATAACCATCTGCACCGTGCAGCTCTCTGGCTGCATGATGTACCGGGAAACTCTCATCCGGGAAGTGAGGTCGCAAATGCCTTTTTGTTTGGGGAACTCCCTGAAAATCATTGCCTAGGACCTGCCAGTCAGCCAGGCTCCCCGAGTCTCCAGACCCTTCGTGTGTCCGCCCATCCTGAGCCAGTCACGTCTCAGACATGCCCAACCGTAATCGAGCCCCCAACACCCGCCTTAAACCAGACCCCAAAACCTTACACGCACCCCTGCCCCCGCCCCTCGGCCCCTGCTCAGACTCCCGGGCAGGGGAGCCCCTCCTGCCACCGGCAGCCCTCCCGCTTGGCGGAACCAGCAACACGTTGCTCGTCGCCACTTTGGGAGCTGGCATTTAACACTTAAAGAGCATATTTCTACAAAAATTAATTACATATTCTTTACACACAAAAAAAATAGTGGGAAGAGTGTCATTTTCACACATTTTGCAGATCTCAACGTCATCTCCATCTCTGCATTTGGGTTCACGCGGGGTTCCCCGGTGTGTGTGTCCGAATTCCCTCTTTTCATTTATTAGGGCCCACCCTACTCCAAGGTGACCCCATCTTAACTAATGACATCTGCAATGACCCTGTTTCCAAAGAAGGTCACAATTTGCAGGACTGTCGGTTAGAACCACAACAGGAATTCGGGGTGGACACGATTCAACCCGTAGCCTACTTCCCAGCCTTGCTGTGAAAACAGTTCAGAGCTCACAGCCGCTGGAAGGGTCTTGGGGCCCCCAGACCATGGCCTCTGCCTCGAGAGCTGCTGTCCCGTCCTGGGTGTCTGCTCCTCTGTGTCCTATTAGCCATCCAAGTCTTTAATTCTGATGAAACCAAGTCCGTCCACTCCCGTTCGAAGTCTTGTGCAGAAAGTTCTCCACTTTGTCACACAGGCACCTCTGCATTTTCCTCCGTGAACTCGGTAGCTTTGCCGCTCACACCACAGCTCACAGGCGCACCTGTGCTGGAGCCAAGGGACCTTACGGGTGCGAGGAGCATCTTACCACCTGAGCCAATGTGCCAACCTCTTGGTAAATCAACTGCTTTGTAACACATTTTTTTAGAAGAAAAAGAAACCCTTCCTAAATGGCATGGGAAGCCCCTCTCGGGTCTTGGCGGGGCCTGAGTGGGCACGGACAGCCGAGGCCCGCTGTGGGGAGGAAGGGAGGGGAATCTGAGCCACAAAGACAAGCTTGTCCCCAAGACAGAGACGGGCCTGTTCCTGGAGGTATTTGCTGGTGGCACAGCTGGGCTGCAGAGCGGTGGCCACGGGCAGTCCCACGGCCGAGGGGACCGCTGGGCGGGAGGTCAGGCCACACTCCACAGGTCTCCGGGCTCCTCCCTCTTTCCTGCCGACCTGCCCGGTGGACGAGGGAGGCCGGGGGAGGCCGGGGGTGTGAGTGGTTAAGGACACATTGGGATTAAGCAAAACTGCATTTTGGTTTTTGTTTTGTTTTTTTGAGACAGGGTCTCACTCCGTCTCCCAGGCTGGAGTGCAGCGGCATTGTCGCAGCTCACTGCAGCCTCGAACTCCTGGCTCCAGTGACTTCCCGGCTCAGCATCTCGAGCAGCTGAGACTACAGGCGTGTGTGGCTGTTTTTTAATTTTTTGTGGAGACTTGGTCTCACTGTGTTGCCCAGGCTGGTCTCGAACTCCCGGCCTCAAGCGGTCCGCCCAAAGCGCTGGGATTACAGGCCAGAGGTGCTGCACCCAGCCCAGCAAAATTGCATTTGACCCTGGCTCTGGGCCTTGGGCAGATGACCTGGCCCCTTGGGCTTCCTTCTCCACCTCTGCTGAGGCCACCTGGGTGGAGGACGGCAGCAGTCAGCACAGGAGGGTATGGCCTGTCACCTGTCTGCACGCCCTGAGAGTGATGCCCTCGCGTGGAAAATGGAGTGTGCCCCACACCTGGGGTCGGCAGCCAAGGGGCACCCAGCGGCCTGCCTGATGCTCTGGGACCTTGGACCCAGCACTGGGCAGATGGGTCGGTGGCCCCGTCCTCCCTCAAGAGGGTCTCAGGAGGCGGTGGGAAGCCCCTTGGAAGAAATAGGGACAATTTCCGGAAGTCCAGAGGCCCGAGCAGACAGCTGGGGCCTGGGCACCTCAGAACCAGCAGCTTCAGGGGTGAGAGCCTGCTTGGGGCCTGCGCTGGCAGTGCGGGAGCCTAGGTCTGGGATTCTGGGGCTGGGGTCTGGAAGTCTGGGGCCTGGGAGCTCCTCGGCTGTCGGGGAAGCAGAGCGGGACAGAGCAGGTGGTAGCTGGAGATGGCATGGGGGCAGGGAGGGGCTGGCTGAAGCAGGTGTAGGTCTGGGGCCTCCAAGAGCTGAGCGACCCAGCCTGGAGGCAGCATCTGCAGGTCCAGACCATCCCTGAGAAGGCAAACCCTGCAGGTGGGGCAGCGGGAGAGTCAGGGCGTGGCTGGGACGGGGGTGGTCACCCCCAGTCTCGGGGGGACACGTCCTCCCCAGCCTGGTCCCACAGTTACCCTGCCCACCAGGCCAAGCCCCCAGGACTGGGCCCCCATGCTCCACCCAGGGCTGGTCCACTGACTGCTCAGGAGACACTCTGTGGACTCCCCCAGCTGGCCCGGTGCTAGGGCACCCCCTGGTGGCCACCCATAGCAGCACACGGGCTGCGAGCAGAGGGCGCCAAAGGCCCCTCCCAGGGTGTGAGGCTCCGATGCACTCGCGTGGACGTTGGACAGGTGCCGCTTGTGGTGAGGGCAGAGTCCGCTGGCGGTCAGCAGGGCTCCGCAGGCCCTGTGCCCTCCTCTCGGGTGCCTCGTCAGCGAGGGGCTGAGCTCTCCAAAGCCGGTCTTGGCCTTGACCCTCTGACTCAGCTCCCTCCGAGGCCTGCCCCGAGGTCAGGCCCAGCTGCTCCCCCTCCCCACGACCCCCACTTGGGTATGTGCCCAACAGAAGCCAGTCTTGGGTGACAGGCTTTGAGACTGCTGGACGTCTGGCCTGGGAGGGCCACGGGGAGAGGAGTGGGCAGGGTCCCCACCCCCATGTCCTCCAGGCATCCTGATGCCTCCTGGGCTCCTCTCCAGGCTCGGGGTGCGCGGCCTTCCTTGCAATGTCCGTGGTCCGGCCTGGCCGAGGCCTCTGCCCCGCAGCCCTTAGGACAGGCCCATCCCCGCCCCAGGAGACAGACACAGCTGCTAGGAGACAACCGGTTTAATGACTTAGCTGTGGAGCCTCGGCCACCTCTCAGCTCTGGGGTGTGACTCTGGGTCCAGAGCTCCAAGACACCCCAGCCCCCTGCACAGCACGCAGGACTCAGCTGGCCTGGGACTTGGTCAGAGAGAGTTCCTGTCGCGGGCTCTGTGGGGTAGGTGGCAGGGGTGTCTGAAGCCAGCGCTCGTGTCCAGCGCATCCTCAGTCCTTGACGGGGAGGGGGTGAGCGTGCGCCCCACCCCAGCACAGCACCCAGGGCCTCCTGTGCTGGAGCCCCGGCCACCCTTGTGGAGCAGCACAAGGGGTGGGTGTGGCGGGCACATCTGGAGGCCAGGTCACCAGCCCGGCCGGGGCGGAGCTCTGGCCTACTCTGGGGCATGGGGGTGCGGCTGCGTACAGGTCGACGTAGGAGCAGGTGAAGACAGGGGGGCATCACAGAGGACGAGGCCCCACCCCTCCTGGGGGGTCCTGTGGCCTCAGGGCAGGCAGAGGTGGGGTTGGCACCAAGGGTCCCAGGTTTGGCTGAGGTCCGCCTTGGTGTGGGCTGGGGCAGTGGGTATCCCTGGGCCTGAGGACAGGCCATGTGCCAGGCGGGTGCGGGGCCCTCACCCGGCACCACAGCCCATCCGTGTCCTTGGTACAAAATACATACACATACAAAAATAATACTCCGTGCGCTTAGGGGCCGCTGCAGGTGCGGCCGCCCCCCGCTGCAGGCGAGGCGCTGCGGGGCGGCCGGGTCTAGCTGTCCTCCGCCCTCCTCTGGTTCTTGGAATGAAACTTGCTCATGAGTTCCTCCAGCTCCGACCCGCTTTGCTGCTTCTAGGGAGGAGAGCGGCCGCCTCAGCCCGGGTCCCGGGCCCCCCAAGCCCAGGAAAGGGCGGCCTGCAGGGGCGGGGGCAGGGGCGCACCTCCAGGAGAGCCTTCTGCACGGTGAGCTGGCTGTACACGCGGGCGCCCTCCTCCCCGCACACCTTCCTCAGCTCGTCCTTGCTGAGCGAGAAGAGCTGCGGCCCGGTCAGGATGCCCAGGTTCTCCACGGTCCTGCGGGCAGGGGCGCGTGAGGGGGCGCCGTGGGCGTGGCTCCCGGCCCCCCGCCCCCCGCCCGCGCCGCGTGCTCACCGGGCGCTGAAGGCCTTGGCGTCCAGCCAGGCGCGGACCTCGCCGGGGCCCGACTCGTAGGACAGCGGCGGGCGCGTGGGCAGCGCGCGCTCCACGCGCAGGTGCCGGGGCGGCTGCTCCTTGATGTGGCTGATCTTCCTGACCAGCTCGTCGTTGACCTCGTCCATCTGGTGGATCAGCTCTGCGGGCGGCGCGGAGGCTCAGCCCGGCTGCCGCCCCGCCCACCCCGCGCGCCCTCCGGGCCGGCGCCCCCACCCTGCGGGAGCGGCCTCTCACCGTCCTTGTTCCCCGCGAAGGTCGCAGGCAGCTTGTGGGTCGGGCTGGCGGGGCCCCAGTATTTCGCACTGGCCTGCGGGCGGGGAGAGGCGCGCGGGCTGGCGGGGCTGTCGACTGCGCCCGTCCCCGCAGCCCCCAGGACCCGCGCAGCCGCACCCGCGCCTGGGGCCGGCCCTTCCCGCTGCCCGGGCGCCCCCGCCCCAGCCCCGGCCCCCCAGCCGCCCCCGCCCCAGCCCGGGTCCCAGGCCGCTGTTCCGCGCTCGGGAGCAGTCCGGGCGCTGCCCACGTGCTGCGGACGGGGCAGGCTCACCTGCTCCAGGGCGGCGCCCGCGTCCTCGGGCCGCACCTCGTCCAGGATGTTGCAGGGCACGTAGCCCGCCTGGCCGCTGCGGCTGCGCAGCTTCCACCACTGCCGCCCGTCCTCCAGCACCTGCGGGCGGCGGCGTCAGGCCCGCGCCCCTCTGCCAGGCGCCGGCCTGGGCTGCTGGACCGCTGAGTCCTTCGCAGGCCAGAGCGCCCCTGGGCCCCACCCTGCCTCAGTGGGATCCTGGAGCAGCGGCCTCTTAACCTGGTTGTGGATGTAGACCCCCCCAGCCTGCTCCACTTTCCGTCCCCCAGCGGGTGGCCTGGATTCAGCTTGGCACAAAGGCAGTCTGTGCCCGGGCTCTTGGGGTGGGCGTGAATGACAAGCCCCTGCTGGGTTCCACTGGGGGGTCCCCCACTTGGCACAGGGACTGCCCACCTCCCAGCCCAGCCCCGAGTAGGGGTCCTTGCATGCCCTGGGGGGGCCCTGAGACAGGGCGGCCCTCAGCCAGTCTGCAGGGCGGGGGGAGGCCTGTGGATCCCCATAGGAGCCCAGAGGTAGGGACCCTGGGGAAAGGGGCCAGCAGCCATGTTCTGTCACACAGCCTGGCCCCCAGACCACTTGCCCCCACTGGGCAGCCCTTCCCTCCCCTGGGCAGCCACCCGTGCCTGCGCCTCCCACCCCCCGTCAGCCTGCCCCTGGGCAGCCTCCTCCTCCCCTGGGAGCCCTTCTCCTGCCCTGGGCAGCCCCTCCCTGCTACCCCCTTACCTCCAGGACCTCATCCTTGAGCACCGACAATTCGTTGGCGTTGTGGGCTGTGAAGTCGTAGAGGATTTTGACGTACTTGGCCATGGCTGGTGTTGGCTGGTAGCCCCTGCAAGGAACGGGAGAAGCTGAGGCCCAGGGCTGCGCCAGGCTCTCCTGGACCTGGGCAGGAGCCGGGGGCAGCAGCTTCCCAGGTGCACGACTGCCTCCGTTCCGCAGCACAGAGAGGCTGTGGCTCCGCAGCCAGGAATGGAAACTGTGACAGCCTCGGAGCGCTGGGGCCCTGCGTGGAGGTGGGGTGGGCGGGCGGTGGGCGGGACAAAGGGCCCATGGCATGGCAAGGCTGGCCAGCCCAGGCCACCTCCGCGGTCTCCAGCCTGGTACCCCATGGGAACCAGAGCCCGGCATGTGCCTGGGTCGCGGCTTCCGTAAGCTGACCAGCGAAGGCCGGGACGTCTTCAGAGCCAAGCTCCTCCGAGGACTGAGAACACACGTGTGCGTGCACAAGCCACTGTCCACGAGTTCCTCTCCGAGGGCTGCACCCGAACCCTGCAGGGGCACGGGGGCCAGCTCTGGCTGGGCGTCCCGGCTTCGGCACAGAGCAGGCCTGTGGCTGCCCCCGGGGCTGGGCCGTCCCTCCTGGTCTGTCTGGCCCTGGCCATCGGGGCAGCTTCCTGTCCAGGAGCACAGGGAAGGTGGGGGCAAGGGCTACCGGGACTGGGCCAGGTGGACACAACAGGGGCTGGAAGCCAAAGGGTGAAAATGTTTCTTGAAGTGTGGTCCTAGGCTAAGGACCCTGGGTACCAGGCTGACGACATGGGCGAAGGGGACGGGCGCGCTTATTTAACACATGGATTTCTGGCTCCTCCTCTCCTGAAACTGAATCCTGGGTCTGGTAGGGCAATGAGCTGCCCAGGCAGATCCTGGCCCAGGAGTGGGGACAGAGAGGAGGAGGGGACGGTGGGGCTCCCTGGAGCCCTGAGTTTGTGGTTATGCTCTGTGGAAGTGGTGGGGAGCAGGGGGGCTACACCCCCAGTCTCCTCTGCTGGCTCTGCCAGAGCTGGGCCAAAATCAGGCCAACAGCCTCACAGGATGACAGTGTTCAGAGAAACCATTTAAGTTCAATGGTCTAGTAAGTTTCTAACCTTGATTCTAAAACACGAATGTGGAGGCACGAAAAGACCTGATGTATTAGGGTAGTAAATTTACATGTGACTTTCAAAATTTTTCCTATAATTACAAAGTTCAAATGAAAACCTGGTTCTAATTTGGAAAGGTGGTATTCTGAACCACTTGAATGAGGCAGTTGCCACCACCTGGTGGCAGCGTACACACATAGAGCCTCCGTGTTCTGAAGAGTGAATGTCAAGCTCCCGCGCTTTGAGGGAGGGGCTTACCTGTGAGCATGTGCGGAGCTGACTGGTGGTAGAGTGTCCCCTGGGGGTGTGGGCTCCAAAGCATGGCTGTGCTTCTGGGAGTTTCGTAAGGATAGTCTCCGGCTTGCCGGAGCAGGCTGTGAGGACAGTAGGCAGCCAGGGTTTGATGTGGGGTGGGGGCTGGTCAGGAAGGGCAGGGACAGACTGGGTCCCAGGGCGAGGGGGCACAGGACAGGGTCTCAGTGAAACGTGCTGGTGCCACCGAGGAAGACACAGCCTGCCACCCACCCGGGGGCCATGGGCCGCCTTGCTTGGAAGGGGCTGCAGCTGCAGGGGAGGTGGGGGACGTGGGCTGGGGAGGGGAGCTCTGGGGGAGGGGCCGGGCTGGGGCTGCTCTGACCTCGACGTTGGGGGCGGACACCAGCCCCTCCACCTCCCAGGGGGCCTCCTGCAGCACGTCCAGGGGCGGCTCCCAGCCGCTGTGGAACTTGGGCACGTAGAGGGGCACCCGCGGCTCCTGTGGCCACTCGGCGCTAGGGCGAGAGGTCCCGGGGGGTCAGCCAGGCCCCTGCCGGAGCTCGTCGCCAGGACCCCCACCCTGCCCGCGCTCTGCCCCCAGCGCCTCTCCGCCATGCCGCACCGGGGCCGAGTCCAGGTCTCCCCCAGCGACTCCCACAGCAACATCTCCTTGGGGATCAGGTGGCCACGCAGGAAGCCCACGGCATCTCGGGAGAGCAAGGGGCTGGAGACGGAGCGTGCGATGTTTGGGCCACCACAGGTGTTGACGATCTGGGGCACAGGGGGCTTCAGCAGGGGCCACGCTCACGGGCCCCCAGCCCCAGAAGCTCCACGGGGGGGCGCTCAGGAGGGACTTCGGCCCCCTGGGAGATGGACGCACGGCCTAAGCCGGGCTGCCCCAGGTGAGCACCTGCTTCCCCCACCCTGAGCGCAGGGAGCCACTCCCAGGGCCCTGGCCACCCCCCACCCCTGCTGTCCCAGCCCAGGCACCAGGTCCAGAGGCCCGAAGAGGAAGTGCACGAGCTCGGCCGCGCTGGGGTTCTGGATGTGCTTCTGCAGCTTGGCCTGCGGGAGGGACCAGTGAGGGTGGCCTTGGGAAGGGTGGACCCTGGACCCGGCACCAGGGACGGGGAGGGTGGGGCCCCTGCTCTCACCAGCAGGTTGATGGCCAGCTTGGTTTTCTGGAAACAGTCCACAAACTCGCCCTCAGGTGGGGGCCGTGCTCGCAGTGTGAGGACGCCCTCTGGCATGGGGGGATGGGGGCAGCATGAACCTACCGCTACCTGCCCTCCCCGCCCCCAGCTCCCCACCTGCTGGCCCTCCCTACCCCCCTCACGCACATGCACACACGCACACACATGCTAACACATGCACCAGAGCACACACGTGCACACACGCATACACACATGCACATGCGCACACATGCTAACACATGCACCAGAGCACAC